AAATGGAGTTACAAAACTCCCAATATTTTTTCTATTGACAAAGGCTGAATCGCAGCCGCAAGACCACTCTGCAGCTTATAATACCCGTCGCGTATCTGCAAAACTCCCAATATAACCAAATGACAACACTACACCGATATCGACACCGACACAGAAAGTGAGACATCCCGACTCGACCCGTTAACCCCCAAACCCGAATACCCATTCTCGCACCTCCGAAAAACCTTCGCCAGCGAGGCCGCTTTTCTCCTCGCCCTTTTCGTTCCCGTAAACAACAAGCTCTGCAACAGCCCGCCCAATGCCGGCGCCCTCACCACCCTCTCGGCCGCCATGGGCCCACCCCCACGGCAAAGCTCTAGCAACGCCGCAACCGCATTCTCCTTCCCACGCGGACTCCCGTGCCCCATCATTCCCATCAACCCCACAACCACCGATTCCTCTCTCCCGACTGCCTCCGCCCCTTCCGGCCGCCGCACGACGATCGCAAGCGCCCCCGCCGCATCCTCCGCCACGTCATCACACCCGAGCGCCTCGATTAACGCCTTCACCGCGCCCGACTCGACCATTATCCCCACATTCTCCGCGTGAGTCGAAAGGTTGAATAACGCGGTCACGGCGTCTTTTCTCCCGCGCGGCGTCCCGTTTTTTAATAGCTCGGTTAGGGACTCGACGGCTTGTTTTTCGCGGGCAATTCGTGTCTTGTGTGAATGAATCGACGAGAGGCTAAAGAGAGTGGCGGCCGCGTTCTCACGAGCCTCGGTCGTGTGCCCGTTTTGTAAAACGTCGACTAACGCGGTTAAGCAGCCGGGCTCGTTCATTATCCGAGATTTGTTCTCTTCGTATATTGATAAGTTTAGCAATGCGGTGACGGAGTTTTCTTGCGAGAGCGGGTCAGGGGAGTTTAGGAGCGTCTTGAGGAGAGGTATTGCGCCAGATTGAGCTATCGAGGCTCGGTTATGACGACCCGTTTTTGCTAAGAGACGGATTTCCCAAGCGCTCACCGTTTTGGCTAGAGCCGAGCCGTTTTTGAGCTGGTCGACGAGAAGGCGAGCTGTGGCTCGGGTGGCTTCAATGGAAGCTCGGCTCGGCTGACCTTCCAGGAAATCCGGGTTTTCCGGTGGGTCGTAAGGGATATTATTCGCCGTGCACCACTGGAGGATTAAACTCCGGAGGGATCGATTGGGGATCAATTTAGTGTGGACGAGAGTTTGACCCGATTTGGGGCAAGTTGAATGCCCGTCGTCGATCCATCTAGTGATCGACGGCCGATCGTAAGTTTGGCCGGTGGATATTATCACAGGGTCGCGCATCAAATCTAATGAGATCGGGCAGGTGAAGTCTTTGGGTAATTTGACGAATGTATCGGCGATTTCTTTGGTGATTAAGCTGATTTTCTTTGCCGGCCGGCGTTTGGGTTTCCCCAGACCGGCTTCCTCGTCTTCAAATCTGAAAAGTAAGTACCTGCAGTAGCGGATTAAGGCGACGAACCCATTGAGAACTGTGGCCGGCGGGTCGAGATCGCCGTCGTGGCTCACGATTTGCTCCTCCAAGAACTCGATTTCTTCCCGGCAGGTTTTTACGCTGCGAATACCCAACTTCCGGACGAAAAACGAGTAAAGCTCGTCTTTTTCCGGGATCCGGCCGTTTTCGAATTCGTTTAAGAAATGGTAGAGCTTCTGCCGGAGTAGCTCGTCGTGCTTATCGACGGAAAGCTCCGATGACTTTATCGATTGTTTTCTCAGCAGTTCAATTTGCTCTCTTGTGTCTCGGGGCAAGTTAACAACTTCATCGTCCAGAGGAAAAACGTCCAAAAGGGTGGAGATTTCTTGGTTCATGTCGTGAAAATGGCCGGAGATTGACTGGTTCTGCAGCAGAAGCCAGAGCTTGCTCGACCCTTTCACGCAGTCGATGAGTACAACCGACCTGTGCAGCAGGAGGTACAACTCCTTGAAGCAGAGGAAGGCGGTGGGGGAGATTCTAGAAGGCTCCACGCCGGAGAAGTAATCGAGAAGCAGGGAGATAACCTGGATTTTACGGATTAAGGATCTGGAGTTCTTCCTCTGGCAAAACGGTGTCGTTTTGTGCTTACCTGAGAAGGTCGTTGCCAGCTCAGCTGAAATAGCTCGCATGGTGCCCAAAACGCCGGCGTCCGACAGATCCGCCGGCACCAGAAACGCCTCCAGAAACGGCGATCTCCGCCGCCTCAACGACGAAAACATCGCCGCCGATGCCATGAACTATTTCTCTTCTTGAAAAAAAAATAAAAAAATTGAATCTTTATCACAAAAATTGAATCTTTATCTGGGTATAATATGTGAAAATGCAAAAAAATAAAAAATAATAAATAAAAGACATCAATATTGCTGTGTGTTTGTTTACGAAGATAATAGCAGTAGTAGCTTCATTAAAACTGTGGGTGTTCTAAATCCGCGTGCAGAGAAGAAGAGGAAGAAGACGAGATAAAATCAACTAAGTCTAACAGCCTTTTTTTTTTATTATTATTATTATTATATTATTGGTTTTATAAGAAAATTGATTGTGATTGATGCTAGAGTTGACTGAATTTTTCAATGAAAGTATTTTTTATTTTATTTTTTTTTGGTTTTGTTTAAGAAATTTCAAGTATGCAGGCTGTCTGAAAGTGACATTTGCCTAAATATATATATATGGGAAGATGCTATAGTTCTGTTACTGAATTATTTCGTCGGTGTTTGCAACCGTTAGATCAACTATATCTGACGCTTATACGATGATCTACCGGTTACAAATTTCGACGGAGTAATTCCATAATGGGACCTCAACATTTCCCATATATATATATATAGATATATATATATATATAGATATATATATATATATATATATTGGCTGTGTTTGTGGTGTTATTTAATTTTTATGTGTTATATAGATATCTATATATATATATAGATATATATATATATATATATTGGCTGTGTTTGTGGTGTTATTTAATTTTTATGTGTTAATAAAATAAAAGCCACTGTATTTGTGTCCATTCATTTTCATTTTCAACAGTATATTTCCTTTGGGTGGACTTTTGTGATATGATGAGACTTGTGTGATATGTTAAGTCTGTGAAGTTGTAAAGTAACCGTTAGATTAACTATCCTCGACAGTTACGTGATAATGTAACGGTTACAAACTCCGATGGAATGGTTCCGTAACGGGACAACAACATTTCTCAAAATTTTGTTGGAAGTTTTTTTTTTTTTTTAAAAAAAAAAAATTTCTTTTACAGTAGAAATGTAGTAGAAATGTACGTAGTATGTAATTTATCAGAGTGTTAATTTACATGCAAAATAATCTTTACTATGGAAATAGTTGAGCAAATAAATGCACCTTTTTTAGCTACTAATAAATCTTGGGAAAGTTTGTTATTTGAGAATAAAAAGCATGTACACATTGCCTTAATATTCTGACTATAGTATATAAAATAACAAAAAACATAATCAAAGATGCCATTAAATATTTTTTTTTACAAAATGCCTGTCAGGTAGACATAAACTTTTTTAAATGTATATTTATGCATGTCTTCATACTGAAATATTACACTTTAAATAAATAATAATATAAATAAAAATAAAATACTTAAAAAAAAACTTAATATAATTGTTATTAACTTGTCATTTTTAATATTAACATTTGTGTTTTTCAATTAGTCTAGGTCAAGGAAACACAAGTTGACATGAGATTCTTTTACAATTATTTTTAACACTCATTGGATCTGAGAAAAAAAAAAAAAAAAGTTTTGGCTCTTCGTGTTACTGAAAGTGAAGAAAAATAAAATAATGATCAAAATATTTTGATTGCATTGTTTTTATTTTTTATATATTTAGTTATTATATAGTGTGTGTTATTTTTGTAGATATTTCATTTTGTAGTACTCCGACATGCACACAACTAGAATTTTTTCACTCTCACGAAAATAGTGCCATTAAATTATTTCATGTAATACACAAAATCTAACTCAATATCACCATCCTCAATATTATCAGTATAATTAAATAATAACAATCACATTCTTACACTTTACGTTAATATTTCATGTATACTCACCTATCTTTTTTTTTTCCAAAGTAATAGAGGTACTATTATAAATTAAAAGCGCACAAATATGCGAATAAAAATACAAAGCTCCCAACGGGAGAATAAACTGAGAGGACAGGTCAGAACCCGCCTAAAATCCCGCTAGCAACGCTAGAATAAAAACTCAAACTAAACAGTCCAACTACTCGACCACGACCCCAAAGGGGTAATAAAAACACTACAATAAACACAACAAAAACACAAAGACCCCAACAGAGTAATACCGCCAACAGGGTAATAAAGGTGACACTCAGGCGCACAGAGGCCAAATGACCCAAACCTAAAACACAAGAACAACACGAACACATAAACAAACAAATAAAGAACCAAAAACAACACATGATACTAAGAAAAAGAACAGCCCTTCCCCGATGAGCGGTCTGGCCCAACCAACAGTTAACAATCGACACAAAACATAGGCCCAACAACACATAATACTCACCTATCATTGATTGATATAATATTAAAGTCAGGCGGAAAAAAAAAATTAAAAATCATATGACTAAATATGTAGCAATAGATTTTCTTGTGATTTAGTAACCGAAAGTAGACAAAGGTGAGTAGTGTGTATGCTTTTATTAGAGCAATAAAAGCTGGCAACAACCCAAGTTGAATTTAGGACTTTCATTATTATTTGTCTCTTTTTTTTAGTTTCTTAATTAAGCTCTACTTCTATTAAACACTGAAATCATTTGGAAAAAATTTAATAAAAAAATTTAATATGTTTATGATGGAGACGAGCTCGCGTTGGAGTTTCTGGACAAATATGATCGGCTCTGCATTTGATCTGATTATTATTTGCTTTCCTTTTTATTTATTTCCTACTTATATATTTATTAGGAGCAATTAAATAAATAAATATCCTACAAATATCTTGTAGGAGTAGGACTCCTCTTTATTTATTCTAGGGATTGTAACAGAAGGAGCAGCTTTGATTGAATTTTATCAGATTTCAGTGAATTCACGAGAGAGTATCTCATTCTTTATCCCGTTCTTATTCACGTTCTACATCAGTTGGTATCAGCAGACCAGCAACGATCAACGATGCCGCCGAAAAGGAACACCGTAATCGACAACGCCATTGATGAACGCTTCCAACGAGTGGATGAACGTTTTAATGGAATTGACGACAAATTCACGGTTATCTCAACGGGGATCGATGACTTGCGAGATGCGATGCGAACCTTGATGGACGAAGTGCGTACGAACCGCGACGCCGGCGACCGGGGCGCACGCGGAGGGTTTCGCGGTGGTCGTGGTGGTCGTGGCTTTGGCGGGGCGCCCCGCCGGCAATCACCACACCCACTGCCCGGCGAATCTGATACCGATGAGACCCTTACCA